TCATAGCTCACATCTGGAGCTGGAACGGTGACCTAGCATCATGGTAAAGCTGTCCTGAAACTCTGTCAAAGCAGAACTGTGTACTCAACTACTAAGCTGGAAGCAGTACCTCACATTGTTTAGCTGTACCGGTGCATCATTAGAGAACACTGCCAGTCTCTCTTAAAGGATCTCTGCAGCCTCGATTGAAAGAAAGGTGAAAACAGAGACAGGAATGCTAAAGATTCTAAAACAGGAAAACTAACATTGACCAATGAGTAAGACTTTGTCATTCCTTTTGACTACTGTTTCCATAGGTTTCATACACGGCAAAAGAGTAGTTTAAGGTGGCACAACAACTCTACACTCACACACTTGGAAAATTTGCTTTCCTTGCTCTCTCAGTCAAATCATCCTCACTGAAAGTTCCTTGCAAATTTCTGCCTATAACTAAATGAAAAACACAAAACTCCATTTGAAATCCGTATCAAAATGCAGTACTGTACAAAACAGGATATTTAGCAAAAATACAACATAAGCCTGTATCCCATGATAATCAATAGATAATGCCATGTAAATACATAGCAGAACTGAGGGCCAATATTCACTGAGTGGCTTTCCCAAAACATCTACAGAACTGAATTAAACCACAAAACTAACATTAGTAAAAGTAGTCACAAAGATAAGTATTTGTGAGATCAGAACAATTTCCCCTTGGACCCAGCAAAGCCCTTAAACATATCCTGAATTATAAACAAGTGAGTAATACCATCCCTATGCGACAAGCTGCTTAAATACAACGGGAATGCTTAAGTGTTCTGCTACACAGGGATGCCATTACTCACATACTTAATGATAAGCACGTGCTTATTACTTAACATTTTATGTTGCCATGCCTAAAAAGAAGCATACAACTAATTAATGTACAATTATGAGAGTCCACACCCCCAGATCTTACTGCATAAAAGAGAAGAGAATACAGACAAGAGATAAAAAAGCAGTAGAGTGACATCTTTGAAATTAAATGTAAATCGAATCTGCCTGAATATTTTACAGGTGATCAGTTTGAATGATGACAGATTCAGCCTTATTTCACACTAGCTTGAAAGAGGAAAAATAGTCCACTTTTTTGGCATAATCTTCCCTTTTTTTTCCCCTGCATGTTTTGACACTTGATCTGTACAAGATATCCACAAAGTGCTCTTCACAGATGCATTTTGTTAATTAGCTATATGCTGTTTTTCAAAATCTGTAGACTAAACAGCAGATTTGGTATGCAAAAGGCATCTTGACATGTCCTGAATGCACTCCAATATTATTTAAGCAGATGTAGCAAGTCACACTACAAGATTTTCACGATATTCCAATTTATTTTCACATCAGTAACTGCTTCTGCAATTTTAATTTGTATTAATATTTTCTGCATTGTCCCAGCAAAGACAGACTTAATGAAATCAAGGAAATGAGCAAAAATATTTGTGGTTTTCTCCGGACTCGTCTATGAAATATTTAGATGCAACTTTCTTCAGCAGGGAAATTTTACAGTCATATACATTGAAAGTCCATTTTCAACATAACTAGGAAAGTAGGAATTAACATTTTCAAGTTTTTGCCTGTGAAAAAAACCATGTATGCAAATAAAAGATGCACCAGAGTATTTTCTTCTAAGTAGGTTACAATGTTGTCACTCTACAGAGATTTTGATAGTCTATCTCTACAGCCTCTGATCTCTACTTTGGGATCACTGCACAACTTTAGAAATACAGTCTTCTATAAAAGGGAATAAAACATGCCAGCCTTGGCACAGATTGTCTGCAGCAGCAAAGTCAGTAAGTAAAATGAAAAAAAAATCATAGTTATATTAAATGCAATACACTAGGCTTCATTTTAACGTAGCCCCCTGCAAGAGGGCTATTACTGCACCTCTTGCTTAAGAAGAGCTCCTCACAATTTCAGGAGGACTAGAGCATAAATTAGAATTTTAAGGGTTTTTTTCAGTGTTTCAATCCTGTCCCCACTAGAAAAAGTATACAGATAATCACTACGTACTTTCTGCATATAAATCTAAGCCAATACACGAATATGTTGTTAGACTGAGGGCAAAATGCTCAGCCCTAAACTCTGATCTTCCAGCCATTCCTTGCTCAGTGTTTCACTTGATGCCAATTCCAATGCCACTTCCAAAACTTATTCTTTATTGCTGTTCAAGCCTTTTTCCTTGATGGGATGAAAGAATAGCATACCATCTAGTCCACATTTTTGCACATACAATATTTTGCAAAGTCCAAAATTTGTATATCTTTTGTTTGTTTCTTCTCTTTGAGGGGATGTTGCTCAGCCTGTATTAATAACTACTAAGTTCCTTCTAGAACTGGCCTTTCAGATTACCTTTCTTTATTATAGAAACTGCAAGGCTTTCTTCTCTAATGTTTTCAGGCACTACATCTTATATCTTTGCTTGCCACTGGGTTTCCTCCATATTATAAGATCACTTTACAATTACTGAATCTCCCCTTTTTTTCCTTCTGATTAAATGTATTAGTTCTTTTTGTTCCCTTTACTTTAGTCTTAGCCTTTCAAGTTTGCCAAAATTCTCCTGGGGACAAGAAAGAAGAACTCACTTGTTTTGGTGAAGAAAGGACTAGAATACAAGAGAGAAGATGGATTATAGACATGTTTTAGACATGTCGGGCATCTGCTGGTCTGGTAGCCTCATAGGACTTTCCATGGAAAGGAATTACCCAGTAGTTTCTCCTTCTTTTCCACATGCCTATTATGTAAAAGGATGATGTGGAGTGCTTGACTGAGCTCTTACACCAAGAGCTTATGAAACTTTTCCTCACTTAACTACATTACACGTTTTCAAATTAAATAGATATTCTACAGAAAGTCTACTGCATTTATCATCCTAAACTTTCAGCCTATCACGCTGACACTGCACAGGTGTTGGGATTTTTTTCTTCTGAGTTGTAAGGAATATGGAATTTGGGCTTTAATCTAAGCGTACTAGATTCGCCATTTCTTAAGCCTTTGGGCTTTTTTTTTTCCCAGAATGAGATCTTCTGGGCTTGTTTCTTGCTTCTTTTAAGTAGTGTCCATGTTCTGTGCATTTTTTTCAGTCAGGTTTTCAATTCCATACTACCTTTTCCCTCTTGGAAGTTTTGACAAGACCCTCTGTTTTAAAACTTGTGCTGTTCTGTTGATTTCATCTGGCTGTTTATACATGCCAAGGAGAAGCAGTTCATTTCACTGCATACAGGACACTGCGCCCGTAATTCTTTTGCAATTTCCAATGCCAATTACATTGTCTGCACTAGTGAGTTTGAATCCTAGACAGATCCTTGGAGTCTGCTTGCTTTTGCTTAATGCTGACTTTAGGCATGTGAGGTCTGTGAGCTCCTGTTAACTATGGCATTCTTGTTAAAATATGACTTTTCTCAGCCCACATGTAACTGTTGCACAATTAAAACAAATCCTTATGTTCCATATTGTATAGTGGTGTTGTCAAACCATCAGATATGAAACACAAAGTCTTCTAAAATAAGCTATATATTTGATAGAGAAATGTGCTACCAATTCTTGCGCAGCCACATGGTTGACTTGAAAAATGTATGTGGGCTTTTTTATTATCACTAACTAATGAATTCTTCTTCCACTCAAGAACAAACTGTTCCTTTAGAGGCTGGGAATTCATGGTCTTCTCCCAAGACTTCCGTGCAGAAAGCCAGCTCATTTGATACGAGGAGGTGAAGCAGATTTCAGGAGGATGATCAGATGTCCCTTGGGACCATGTGGTGACAAGCACTGCACAAGTGCAAAACATGTGTGCTCCCCGTTGGCCAGGGGTACCGACTGGTGGGAAGCCCACAGGGTCTAACAAACGAGGCCTAGGCATGAAGGTTTGCCTGCTGGGAGAAGTCCTGATTTCATGGCCGTATTGAATGAAGGCATCAGCCCCACCATGGGCCCAGCTACAGCAGTGGTCAGGCTGGCACAGTTAGTCCGGCCCAGAGTAGGCAACATCCTGGTGTACATGAGGCTGCCCTTAGCCTCCCCTGCCATGTGAGGTGAGGAGTCTGATGGTCTCCGCACGGGCCTCGCTCTCCTTTCCCAGCGTCGACTGGGTCAGTGTGGTGTGGGATGCTCACTTCCCACTCTCCCAAGCTGTGCCCGATGGGCAAGCAGGGCCACCATGCCAGCAGCTGTGGGTGCCCCTGCCCTGGGTACCAGCGCTCTCCCCTGCTCCTTGTATGATGCTCCACCACTACCATTTCCCCAGACTCCCAGCCGCTGCCGTGAGACACCTCTCTCTCTCTCTCCATTTTCACACTCCACCCACTTTTTGCTTGCTTTCTCCATCTCTGTCACCGTCTCTCTCCCCTTCTGGACTTGTCTTTATTTGGCACTCCCGGAAGCTGCAGGGCATTGCTCTCCCTGCCTGCCGGGGCAGCTGATGTGACTGACTGACACCGGCTCCCGCTGAGGAGGAGGAGGAGGAGGAGGAAAAGGAGAAGGAGGAGGAGGAGGAGGAGGAGGGAGAGCAGCGGCGTGGCGAGGGAGGGGGGGGAGCGAGTGACCGGCCGCGGATTTTCATTGCAGAGAGGAGGGGGGAAAAAAAGGCCACGCGGGTCATCAAAACAGGTAACTCAAGAGCAGGCGGCGGCGGGAGGGGCGGGATGCGGGGAGCGGCCCGACCTCTCCGGCCCCGGGCAGGCGCGGCCGGGGCCGTGTCTGCGCTCCCGCCGGCGGCAGCAGCAGCGGACATCTTGGGGATGGGGGACAGTAATGAGGGGACGGCTCCGGGCTCGGCCGGGGGCTGCAGAGCTGCAGCGTAATTCCTTGGGAGGGCAGTGCCCCGGGCGCTTATGTGGGTCAGGGACCCTCGCTGCCCTTCGACTTCCCTCCTGTCACCTGCGCCGGGCTGCGCACGGAAAGCGTCCCCCTCCCTCCCTCCGATCCCCAGGGTGATAAGTGGGGAGGAAGTAATCTGGCCGGGGAGCGGGGAGACCCGAGCGAAATACCACGGCAGATGAGGGATCCTCTTTGGGGCTGAAGTCAGACTTCCTCCGCCGAGCCCCTGGTCAGCGCCGTGAACGACTCCGGGGTGCTTTGGGCCCCCGCCCCGGGTCCCGGCAAGCCGGCTTTCCGACGGGCTATTAAAAATTCCCTCGTCTTGTTTATGCAGACCTGGCTGTCAAGCTGTGCTGGTCTTGAACTCTCTTAATCAGCGTAAGATGATCTAATTCTGAGGGAGGTGGCTGTAGTGCCCGTGGGTAGCTGGGCGCCGAGTCCTTGGATCCCCCCGCCCTTGGAGCTAGGGGTGTGCGTGTGGTGGAGGTGGCAGAGGAGCCTACAGGTTTAGCCCAGAGGAGAGGGTTAAATAGCATCTTAGGGTGAGAGATGGGAAGGCATAATATGTACCTTTACATAGAAATATATGAAGGATACTTGAAATACAAGGCGGAGTTCAGAGCGAGCAGGAGGAAGGCAGAAATGAAGGACCGTGAAGCCGAGATCCTGCATTTTGCAGGGACTTGACATCTGAAGGAGAACTACCCCGGAGACACAGCCAGCACAAAGACGAGGAGAACTTATGACCCCACCTAAAAATGTGCAGTCTGTCCTTTGTTTTGGGGATTGTTGTAGATTTGTATCTTAGCATTACAGAATCAACAGTGAGGATTTTTATCAAGTAGAATTCAGATTTCATAATGTGCAGGAGCAATCTTAAAAACAAAGACCATCCAAGGAAGAAAGCTTTTTTTATATGCCTTACCTAAATGTGTTTGTTTTCTAGTGATGGAAAAATGTTGCCAGAAAAAAATCTGCACAGAGGACTGTCCATTAGGAAATAGTTGGAAGGGATCTGTTTAGCAGGGGGGCAGGGTGGGATAAAGCAGCAAATATTTATCAAGTTATTTCTAAGCCAGGCAAAAGTGGCAATGGTTTATGGACTACCATGTTTCATTGCTCTGTGAAATTGTAATCAGAAAACTCATCCTGCTTCAGAAATGTAACTTTAAAAATTATTTAAAATAGCAAAGTGGTAGATAAAATGAATTAAAACTCAATACAGTACTCTCAAATCTGGCCTTTTAAGACATTCCTGCTAGTCAGATATCCTAATTTTTATGCAATTTTTTATCTCAGCATTTCCTTTTAATTACTTATTATGCAAATGATAATAAACTTTTTTCTGGTTCTGTGCATTTGCAGCACAAGGATTTCATAACATTGGTTCTATTTTGAGCAAGTTTGCACAAGAACAAAGGCAAGCCACCTTCTATAACAAAGCCAGGCACATACAACAATATGGTCTTTTTGATCTTGGGCATAACAAAAACGCTAGTCTTCAGAATACTCCTGTGATTGACTTGTGTCTTTCCCCTCAAATGAATGCTGCTCAAATGTGGAAGGTGGACAGGCACAACTCCAAATGTAATGAATAAAGTATGTTTTCTCAATTAAATAAAAATTAAGAGGATGTGCATTATTTACTATTACAGAAGAACTGACCTATGATGTTTTCATTATTCTTTTTCAGCTGTGGCTTTCACTTTAGTGGAGAAAAGGGTTTCTTGGTATACCATAAGGAGCAAGAGTACTAAGATTACATGTATGAAATCCCCTCCCATCATTAGATTTTCTGAATCCACTGTATAATTTTTATTCACCATGCAAAATACATTGGGCACCCTAAGTTAGAGAAAAAAAAAATTTAAAAAGAATGAAAATTCCCCCAGGTCTGAAATTCATGGGAATTTGAATTAGCTTGTACTGAAAAAGGTAATAGAGTGCAGCAAGGAGGGCTGAAAACCAGCTCTCAGCCTTGACATTGACTTGCAGCAGTACCTGGAGCAAGTCAGATAATCTTTGCGTGTTTCAGTCTGTGGCCTGTCAGTAACAATAAATTTGGGATTGGTTTGAACTCTAGTGAGAGAAATGGTGAACTGCCGGATTTGTTAAAGAATATTCTTTGTGGTTCTGCATGAATTTTAACATCATGTGCAACAGCAGCCAACTCAGTAGCTGCAGTTGTTGCCTACTAGAACATCTGACAACATGAAAGAGATCATTCTTTACTTATCATGCTTAGTGGGGCAAAATCAAAGAAACACCTACAATAAATCAGGCATACATTATTGCAGTTATTCAGACAGCTATTTTATTGTGAACTGGTAAAAAATTTTGCTTGACAAAGCACACCTAATATATATAAATAATTTTAATTCCTGTCTCTATAACTTAATATGCTTGATTTGCAATAGGGGGAACAACTGGGAACATGTCATTTTCATGTAGTACAGATTCTGTTCCAGTTGCTCGCATATTTTTGAAAAACAAGTAATTTTGGTTAGATAAGGTTTACTGACTCTTCAGATATTAAATGCTTTGAACTCTAAAGGCTCAGCCATTCTTCAGAATGTCACTGCTAGAACCATGGCAGAATGGCAACACCTTTCCTAAGCAGTGTCCATTGAAGTGACAAAAGCACACATGAGCACAGCAGCATCTATGGCAGAGATTATGCTGATTCGGATAGTTCATCAAGACTATGGAATTCGGGGTTTCTTAAATCTCTGTGACCTTTGTCACCGTGTTAGCAAGGCTTTATGGCATAGACACTACCACAGTTCATACATGTACTGGCTACTGTTGTCTTTATTTCACCTGTGCACAAAAGGTATTCTGACTTCAAATTTCAGGGACTTCTTGTTACTGAAAAGGTCCCATTGAGACTACTTTCCTGAGTACATGCTAATGGAATTACTCTGTCTGACCCACAATTTTTAAGAGAACAGCAGGCTAAAGAAGTTGCTTGTAAAATCCAATATACCAGTAGTAGTATGTTTGGAATCAAAGGCTCAATACTTTTGTAGCATATATTTTAAAAAACCCACAAAAACCAGGGAAATGCTCAATTGCATTATCAAATAGTGTAATATTTTTTCCAAAAAGACATGCTTAGATCCTATGCATTAAAGCTATGTTTTGTATTAGTTTAAATATTTAATTAATTGATTTTTGGAAGGAATGCAAATAATTATTTACATTTCTGTGTGTAATCTGTCATTGTTTAGATAGAAGAAACAGCAGAATAATTCACCTAACCGCTCTAGGTCCCGTAAAGCAGCCATCATCAAAAAGGGTAACTTTATAAGTATCTAGGATGGGTCCAGTTTGATCTTTCTGGGTCTCACAATGGAAAAATAGCCAAATGTCTCAGATCTAGTAAATTGCATGGATTATCATTAAAACTCAGGACCTCTAGGTGGTAACCAGGTTATAGCAGGAAATGGAAAGGTCTGTTTTAGTAGCAGGTGGCCCATTTCATCCTGAACCAGCAGGAAAGGCAAAACCCATTGCAATGCTAGCCGTATTGGAGAGTCAGTTGGATGGATTTTAAAATGGGAGATGGGCAAAGGCCTTGAGTTTTTGTGATCAATAAAGACCCCAACTGAGCTGCAGAACAGAAGAGTACTCATATGGCAGAAAGTTGGCTTCAGCCCTCCTGTTTGCTGCTATGCTGGAGGAAGGGTTACACAGGCTGGAGGCTGAGCCATGATGAGCCTGAGAACATCAGATACAGAGTGCTGAGATCATAATTGCAGCAGGATGTTCTGGTAAGAACAAGAACACGAGCTAAATTGGCTGAAATCAAGCCCAACTATTCAGGCTTCAGCATAATATGGATATGCATGAGAAGTAGGGTGTGGAAGCATTGTGAAAGGCCACCAGCACAGCAAACAAACCCGTTACTAACCTTGGTACTGAATAGCTCTAGTCTCCTCTTTCCTGCAGAAGTAATTACATAGTTTGCACTTTTAGAGCTTGCAGTACCATTTGCTTAGTTGTGACTTCCTCCTTTGCTTTTTTCTTTCACATCCTGGAAGCACTGGAACACTCCATAGGGGTTTGTACTGTGTGGAACTTATGCTTTTGGAGAGTTTAAATTCAATTTGTTTGGAACTGTAGCATAAAGGATCTTACTGTTCAGTTATTATGAGCTGAACTGAAGCACTTTAATAAAATCAATGCCTGCATGCAATAGTTTCTTGGTTGAGCAAGGCAGTCTGCTTACATACAGTAATTGGACTTGTGACAGGTAATTAAATGGCTTGTAAGGCCTTTAAGATGCTTGGTTACATGAAGAGCCCCACACTAATACATAGTAAATGAGGTGGCTAAGGACACTGCGTTTCTGTTGATTGGAGAGATGCTAAAACTCTTACACTTCATTGGAGGGAGAGAAGAAAATAAAACCAAGACAAAAGACTATGAGCAGTGGTGACATGAAAAGGGAGCATAAAAAGAATAGGAGAATGTACTTAGAAACTGGGTTGCCTTGGTTATTTTAAGTCAATCATGCTTACACAGACTGTCAAGCCTTGACTGCTTCAGTATATCATTAAATAATGAACTCGTTCTTTGTGATCACAAAATTGATGACAGTCAAAATTATTCAGCAAGGAATAGAAGCTCTTTGCAGAACTTATGTATAATTAGAAAGTGAACTGATATTCCAGGAGATACTAAGCACATACATAAACACAGGACATATTTTAAAGAATTCATATTAAGTTATCAGAGGCCTAACCACAGTCCATGCTATTATTACATTGACTTGTAGACACACAGCTTGATGTGTGCAGTTGCTCACCCATAATTATGGGACTAAACTGGATATGATAAGAACGAAAATATATCAACAGTCCTAGGGGTACTTGTCAAAATAGAGATTGTTTTACAAGTGATTTTGTAATTTTTTTAAACAGTGGGATACAAAAATGCTTCTACTCCTTTCCTGCATGTTTTTGTGGACAGCAGCCTGGTCACTAGGAGAGGGAGAGAAGCAGAGGAAGATCCAGAATGCAAGCAGAAAAGTATGCTTGGTGGTACCAACAACATAAAGCCAGACAAAGGAAAAAACTTGGGTTAAATGGAAGAAGTTCCTCTTCTACACAAAAGTTTTTTTGCTTATAAAAAATAGCCCTTGAAAAACACAGAGGGTATGCCAAAGATACAAATCCACAGACAAGATAATTGAGGTAGCACACAGTTATGCACAGCAATAAGGGATTCATTCATAGCATATCAATGGTTTAACACAAGTTGAGCTATAGACAGAAATATTTTATGATGAGTATACTAGAACCAGGCAAGACTTCAAACCAACTTATTAGTCAAAATGGCCCATCCATCCACAAAAAGCAGAAGTCACACAGATTTCTTTTTGTCTTTTTGCTATCCCAGATATAATCCTTGTCCATTCTAACAAAAAAAACCCTATATATTTTAATGGGTTTAAAAAAAAGATTTTTTTTTCTATATACTTAAAACTACATTGCTTCCAAGTAAGCTTGTAGCAGATCTAG